TCTGTCTCATGTATAGCTGTTTGTATTATATAGTTCGCAAACTATATCCTTTTTACATCAAAAACAATAATTGATAATGTAATTGTCATAGAGGAGAGTGAATAAAAATGATGATTTATCGTTTTACTTTTGATTTTCAACAATAACTTACTGTCCGCTGTCTTCCGGATTCAGATCCATGAGTACGATAATTACTTCTGGTTTGCACTGCATTACTAATCGAAAGAAATCACCCGCGGTTGCCTCATCAAATGGTGCCTGAGCCAATACATACTGTTTTGCCTGCATCGAAAAATGAGCCTAACGAGGATATTTTAAAAAAGAGCCGTATTTTAAATTACAAATTTGAAAGAACTTGTCATTTCATCAATCGGATAAAATATAAATTGAAATAATATTTTGCTTGCCTGCTTGCATCCATCCACATATGATGCATGATAGTAGTCAGGCTTTTCATTTAAAATTACTCGGGTTCTATCCGAGAGAAATATCTCTGAAACATCTATTTTTGTTGATTAATGTTTTCTTGTCCTATTGATTCAGAAAATTTTAACTTTTATTTAATTTTCTTTTTTTTAAATCATCTATTCAATATTTTGTAAAAAAAGAGTGTTTCATTTGCGAAACCTGAAAGAAAACGATGAAGCAAAAGACGAAATTAAAAAATTGAAGATCTCAGAAATGGAATGCAACATCTATCTTCCATCACTTCATCAATTAATTTCATTTTTTTAATCAAAATTCTTTACACTATAAAATGTATGATAAATAAAATACATTTCGAAGTATTTTAACAAAAATTTACAATTAATGAAATACGAAATTTTAATGCAAATAAGGGAATTTAATATAATTTTATCAAGTTTTACTAATTTACGTGCAAATTTTTATTTATTCAATGCTATTTACCGTTTGGAAATTTGTTCTTTGCTCTATTTTCAGCGCTGAAAAATGCGAAAAATGTGGGTGATTCTTTCTCAAACTGTTCGTACAGAAGCGCAATTCCTTCTCCAAGCTTTCGACCGTTAGCTTTTAGCTGAAATCAATGACTAATTCTAACCAATATTCATATTCCACTTTCTAAATCAATTAAAATTTCAAATTTGAATTAATGTAAACGTGTAAAATACTATATAGAATATTATTAGCATTGTCAAATACTAAGCTATACAAGTCAGACTTGTTGCAAAAATGAAATGCTATTTCAAATTTCAGCAGATGATACGAAATCATTCAATGAAAAAAATTTTGATTGCAATAAATTGAATCTTAATAAAATCAAGCCAAAGGATAAGAAAAAAGTAATAATTATATTCAATTTTATCTTTCAAAAGAGAATTGAATATATAGAGAGTAAGAGAAAAGAGAAAATGAGAAATACCGTTACTTCTGATTCATGCAAATTTCGATTTAATTTTTTGTTACTGACTAGGAGATCAAAATAGCATGAAGATTGATTGTTTTAATGGATATTAACAGTACAGAGGAATCAGAGATCTGAGTTCTCATTCCTCTAAATTTCATATCTCAAATTATGAAATGTAAAATGAAATAGTAAGTAAAACGGATGGTACGTGAGATGCGAGTGACGCAGGCGTCAGTATCATTTTTGTTTTTCCTCGACGTACTGAACGCATTGAAGCACGCATATTGTCGGCGCTTATTGCTATGGCACCTTCCTTCGTTTGAATTGTGTCCACCATATCTTCAAAGATGCCGACATATTAACGTATAAAGATACAAACATGCGTGCACACACACATACACATACGCACACAACCAACTCTGCAAATTACATGAGAGATACATTCAGTCATGCAAACTTGTAGTACGTGCAGTTATGGAAAAGACAAACTTGTTAAAGAGCAGATTTTGAAACTACCGATTGGTGCAAGTTCTATGTGAAAATATGACTGTTATGCTACAATTCATTCTTTTTATTTCGGATTTTCAAATAATTTGAATGTCTGAATATATTTTATTAGGCAACAATTTTCTTGTCCATATAGACAGAAATTAGAATAAATGCGTGCAATTCTGGTAATTTCTTGGCCATTTAAACAGCAACGTCTGCGAAGGTATCAAATACTTGGAAATTTTCAGATAGAGAAGTATTTGTTATTTTCTCTGTTTCACTTTTTAATCTTTAAGCTTAATGCAAATCAAATTAATGAATGCTTCGCAATGTCTTCATTTATCTTTTTTACTTCCTTCTCTGAGCTAATATTCAAGTAGTAGACAATTAATCGTTTTTATGTTTGACATAGCCAAAAAAAACAATATTATAAAGTCTTGAATTTTTTAAAAATTCACGACATAATACCAGTTTTTTTATTCGTAAAAGTGGAATAACAAATCATTGAAATCAATAACTGCAATGGAATTGATAAATTCGAAAGTATTTTATAATTTAACAACTGTTCAACTTGTAAGAGACCTGAATTGATGAATTTCAGGACACAAATGGGAGAGAGTATTTCATTATAATCCGGTAGAAAAAGATGTAAACAAATAATGACTGAAAGAATTCATCTATTAATTTATCTATAAACACCGTGATTGTTCACATTGATATTTTAATTACAATGTCACACAGAGCAATATTCGATACTGTTTCAATGAATAGATAGATGAGGTTGCTTTTTTCATCGCAAATTGTTGTTTACTTCAATGGATAACTTCAACTTCCGGTCCGATATCGAACACCTGAAAATATGTTCCGGAATTACACTGAGAAGTTATGTAAGTTTAAATAGCTAAACAAATTTTATGTGTCAGTGAGATCAGGGACAAATACTTGACCTCATGTTGTTCAGCAAATATAAAATGTTTTTCGGCCACTCGTGTGTCGTCCTCGTCATCCACCTGCAACAAAAGCGCCGAGAGCAATAAACATCATGGAAGTGAAAGGGAATTGGAAGAAGGAAAGATAGGTAGGTCTCGAATAGCTGCTTTTTCCGAAGAATAACTTAATTCAAAGAAAGGAAAATTAATGAAAGAATTAAGATAAATGGATGCGCGAAGATACTTACTTACCTGTTCGAGATCTACTTTTTCATTTTCAATTTTCAATGGACCTCTGTGTTCGAATTGACTTGCAGATAGAAATATTTTTTCTACAACGAACGTTTGATTCAGTTTCTGTTAGGTCAACTAAAAGCTATGGAAATGCAGGAGTGCAGGGTTAAGAGGTCAGCTTGCGAGTAATCGGTGCCAGCTTAATAGCGGTGACATAACTGATCTTCGTGATTGTCGTCGTTATTTAGCAGAGTAATTTGCAAAAGATCAAATGAAAAGTACCATTCTTTGCTCGCATACACATCCTTCCACTTCTCTTAATCGTTCACTTTAAAATAAACTTTAACAATATTTGCATTTATTTTGAATAAGCCACCTTTATGTTCAAAGAGTGAGGTGAAAATTTGAATACTTTTCATCTTCGCTTCTTAGGAGAATGAATTCAAATTGCCTCAACTTAATTTCATCTTTCTAAACAAATTTTCAGAAAAATTACTAACTAATTCTATTAACAATAATCAATCGTAAAATTAAAGGAATAAATTCAAAAATTTTTGACTAATATAATTTGACATTGTGTATCTCAGATTATGCAAATTATGTTTACTTACACAATGTTTTTTTTTTTTTGTTGGTTCAACTTGCTTTCTTATATTTGATCGTTAACATTTTTCACACTGACATACAAAGAAATAATATTGCTTTCGATTTCTAATTTTTAACTCTCTCTCGGCAGTATTTTTCTGGCTTCATTGTGCTCTCTTGATCGTAGTGTTCTCGATACTTCTTTTTTCCAGAAATTATTTAAGAGTATTATTATTTTTGCAGTATGTTTGTTCAGTTATGCTAGTGCCATTTTTTTTAGAAGTAATATTTAAATAAAGAGATTACTCAGCGTATTAGGAAAGTATCGAGATTAACCTACTCAGCGTATTAGGAAAGTATCGAGATTAACCGTTTTACTTAATAATTTTCGAATTTGTTAAACTGATCGTGATAA